TTTGCCACTGTAACACAAAATTTTTGTTACAATATTTTCAAATAAAGTGAGCAATATTTGAGTCCATGCTCCCTTTGTGCCACACAGACACACGGTGCAGCCTTGGTCACTTGAGATCATAGAGCCACAAAATATCCTGAATTGGAAAAAAACCACTAGGATCATCAAAGGCCAGCTCCTGGCCCCCTGCACAAGACAACCCCAAGAGTCATACCATGTGACTTGTCCAAACAATGCTTGAACTTTGTCAGGCTTGATGCAAGGACTGCTTCCCACTGTTCCAGTGCAAAAACATTTCTCAATACCTAACCTAAATCTTCCCTGACACAGCTTCATGGAATTCCCTTGGGTCCTCTACCACTGGTCACAGGGGGAAGAGATTAGTTCCTGTCCCTCTGCTTCCCCTTGTGAGGATATTGAAGATCACGATATGGTTTTTCTTCAGTCTGTACTATCTCCAGGTTGAACAACCCAAGTGACCTCAGACATTCCTCATAAGGCTTCCTTTGGACTCTTTACCATCTTCATAGGTCCTCCTTTGGATGCTCTCTAATAACTTTACATATTTTTTATATTGTGGTGTCCAAAATGGCACAGAAGAATCGAGGTGAGGGCTCATGATCCCAGAGTAGAGCAGGACACATAGAGATCTGCATGTTTGTGAAAGCAGCAGGTAAATTCACACTTAGGAAAGAAGTTAAGAAACTGTTGTACCAGTGAAAGGCATGATCACAATACTCTGTTACCACCTGAGCCACTAACTCCTGATCTGGGACCTTCCCTTACCCCAGTAACATATTTTAAACTTAGCCTTTGTAGTGGGCAGCAGTCCTTCTCACTGAGGACAGTCCTCATCAGCCAACTGGCTGATGCCTTCAGTTGGGTCAAGAATAGCTAAAAAAAAATTTCATCAAAACTAGTCACAGGGAAAGCCCACCATGAGATGGATATTTTTGCATATATTGCACCTTGGCTGAAAATGTATCATTTTTCTTGCTGAAAATGTCAGTTTTACAGATCACATGAAATATATCCCTATTCCCAATGGGTTTTGATGGCTTGATTGCAGATCATGCCATCCAAAATTGCAGATTGCATTCTGATTTCATTTTGTATATACAGGTGCATATTTACCTGCTGTTCATGTGACACAGTGTATTTTATTACATGGAATACAGTTTGATGCATATTAGTAAAACAGCAGGATGGAGGTACTAATATATTCGGCTTAATATCTAATGACAAAAAAAAATTAAAAAATCAAAGAAACAAACAATCAGTCAGAGCACTCCAAACCAACCTTTTCCTGTATTCTTTTCATGTCCCACAGGGCAGTTTACAGAATCCAAAAAATGCACAAATCAGAACAAATAATGAGCTAATTGTTTTAATATTAGCACAATTATTTCATTTTCAGTTAAAACAACTTCCATTTTTTTCATATAATGCTACAGGTGTTTTTGTTATTATCTAGATTAATGTAAATAATTTTATTATTCAAATTAAAACAACAACAAAAAAAAGAATTAAAACATTTTAGCAAATTTCCCAAAAGGGAATTATTTTGCAAAATGATTAACATATGTTGCATATCATACACTACATATCTTGATGATTTCCGTAATAAGAAAGGGAAGTGAATTAGTTTCATTTTCAACACTAATCTCTTCTATTTGCTTAAAAAAAAAATTCACAGTTTTGAAGATGTCAGGGAAGATTAACCCATCCCATTTATCACAATTACCAGAGAGGAACATTTCTTTGCTCTAAGTGACTCACAATTTTTTTTTCATGTACTGAAGGCTGTTCTCTTCAGGCCTCACTAAACCTTTCACACTGTTTTTCTCGTACTTCCAAATAGAAGGTGTTATCTAAAATGATATCCTGTGTTCTCTACAACAATTTTTAGAATCCTTCATTCCCATCAGATGAATTTTCATGTGCTTCAACAATACACTCTCATATAATACTAATTTATATTTTTATCACATAGTAATACCATGGATTTCAAAAGAAACTGCACTTTTTTTAAAAGCAGAAAACTGAATTAAACACTAAATTTTTTTCTAGGAAAGAAAAGATTGCTGAAATTGATATTTCTAAAACATGACCATAACATGCATTTATTTGTTAAATGGCATTATGTTCTTCCTTAGTTATGCTGACCAAAAAAGGTTTTTTGTTTGAAAGTATAAAAAAAAGAAAACCATCCCTTAATCTCTCAGACTTTGAGACTGTGAGGTCTTATAAAACTATAGCACCCCTAGTACACTAACTGCCTAGGATAGAGTCTCATTAATACACTGTGGAAACATTGTTTTAATTTATTTTTAAACTTAAAAGACAGGGGAGCAGTGGTAAGACTATTTGATTCAAATGTGTTTTATATCACTGGGACTTTTCTGATGTGGTGGGGAGGTGTGTGTCTACAAGAAGAATGCAAATAACTTTCAAAGCATCATCATCCCTGGTATGCCTCTCTTTTGTAAATTATACACGAAATCGATACCGAAAGTAAGGCTGTCAAAATTGCCTAGTACTAGCATACAAGTGACTCTAAATTAATCACAGATTTTCGATCATCCCATCACTTGAGCAGAATCAGTAGGGAATAACCAAATACTTCGGCTTGTCATCGGTTCTGAGAAATGAAAAACTGGAAAACACACCTATCAAATGGACCTTGAATATAAATCCTTTCTGAGGACCTGCACATTATTCTCAGCCTGACAAGCCCACCTTGGCTGAAGGATTTATAGAGTGTCTGCTTGCAGCAGAGGCAACGGAGCGTAATTACCTGGATTGAGTATTGCTCTAAAATAGCACAACGGAGGATAACATTTATGAATCACAATTAGTATGAACCCTTCCACACAGGTGGATCATGGAGCTGCTGTTCATCAGTGCCACAAAATAAAGGAACAAAATGATCCACAGAGTATTGCAGGCTCTCTCCCCAGTCTGAGAGAAACAAGAATAAATCAGCAGAATTTTAGTTGAAATCTAGACTCAAAACTACATCATTAATTGAATATCAGCATTAACCACATGCTATTGTCAATTTTAAAAAAATTGTTTAGGAGAAAAGGAACAGTACCTATTACCAGACACTTATTTCCCTCATGTCAACATAACTTCTCAGAGAAACACATGGATAGTGATATGTGTATGCATATATATCTGCACATAAATATGTATATATGTACTAAATGTGTATATATACAAACATATGTATATATGTACATATTTGTGTGCAGATACATATGCATACACATTGCATACAGATTGCAATTTCTTAATTACTAAATAGCCATTTAGTAATTAACCATTTACCAATTAAGAAATTGCAATTCAGTCATTATAAATGAAATTAAGAAATCCTCCTTGTAGTGTTCTTTGAGATCACATGGGAAAGACTTATCAGATATCTTTTTCTAGTTTCCTTGCATAGGAAGCAGTGATAAAAATAGCTTGGGAAGAAATAAATATGTGCCCTTCAGCAATGGCCAGAGGAAACACGGTACTGGCAGCAACTCAATCTGTCATTTGCCAGAGGCGTGGTGTCTCTCTCACATAATAAATAATAAGTAATGACATTACTGCAAAGATTGCACATACTTCTTCATTTGTGAGAGTCAAAAGAGCTATCATCTGTCCCTGGCTCCACACAAATGATCTAAGGAAGAGCTTCACCTCCTCCTTCTTGTTCTCTGTAAGTAAAAGTTTCATACATAGAGAGGCAATGGATGTCACAAGACAGAGATGATTTTCAGGAAACCAATAAAAAAGAGGATTAGACACTGTATGACAGGACATAGCTGAACTTTAGTGAACAGATGCACAAGTAGTCTAATAAACTGATAGCATAGCTTCTCTTACTCACACTAAAATATCAACATGAGGGAAGAAAAAGAAAATAGTTGCTGTTCTTAAGTTGCGTGGTCACAACACCTAAGATTACCTGAGAGAGCAAGTTAAAAAGGTCCTAAAGAGATCAGAAGACTACCCTTAAAAACAAATGGTAGGGATCAACAGGGGTTGAATACTCAGGCTGATTTCCTTGGTCTCTTTTATTTAGCAATGTAGACATCTTTGATAGTTTATGCTATGTATAGCATCCAACAGCAGAATGCAGTACTGTGAAAAAGAAATTTTATTTTTCCATTTATGTAAAGCTGGATATTCCCAAACAAAATAATTAACTGTATTTCAGTTCAAATTTGATCAGAAAATTAGCATTAGCCATGGACAAGAAATATGTAAAATATAAATTAAATTGTTTTTGAAGACATGGCCTCAATTTTATTTTTTTTTTGTAAAATAGCTTATAAAACCAAAGTAATAACAATGAAAAAAATTTTATTTTACTTAAAACTATTTTCTCTTTGAATTTTTTTTTTTTGATATTGAGAAAAAGAGATGGCCCACTCTTTTAACCAAAAGAAAAGCATTATACTATATGATCCACTATGACATCTTAACTTTATTAACTACATAGAAGTCTTAATTTTCCTGTTTATAGGGCCAAAGCTTTCAAGAATAAGAATCACATCTCCCAGTACAACCTGGGATGTTCAAGAACTTCTTCTATCCATTGCATTTTTGGTAGCAGTGTCACTTCCAGAACCATAAAATACTCTCCTTGAAGACAGCAGTAGGAGCTTTAGCTCTCAGGGCTAACAGTTGCTCCTCATTATCCCCATGCTGAGCTGCACTAATGAGTCACCATTTGGGCTGGCCTGAGCCATCTTCCACAGTGACTTAAGTCAATACAGCTGGTTTGCCCTGAAACAGAGTGGGAGGACTCCCACATGCTGTTACTGGGCTTCAGCTGTGGGGGCTGTAATGATTACCTGGAGAAGCAGCAATAAGCAGCTGTGAAAAGTAAATTCCAACTGTTCTAGCTAGATCTTGTTTGTTTCTGCACTACTTAATCAGCATCATCCTAAGCACAGATGAGTTCTTAGGATTTCATTCATCCAAAGACTGGGGAGGCTGGCCTGACCTTTCTTGGTTTATAGAACACAATGAGATCACAGTCTATTGCTTCAGGGGAAAAATAGCAAAAGATTACTTTTATGATGGAGACTTAATAGATTTGACATGGCCAGAGGGCATACCAGGTTTCTAACTTTCATCTCCTAGCATGTGTTTTTTCTTTACCTTAATAGTGGGCCACTATAAAAGTAGATTCTTGCTTTTTACAGTAATGGAAGATGTGACTCTGCAATAGGAACAAGTTGCTGGAAGTCCATGGAGAAGATTTTGGAAAGAAACATGAATTCCTTAATTCACACCCTAGAGAAATCCCAAACCTCAAAGTTTGAAGACCTTATTTGTTAAAAGCACAGAGAAACAACAAACCTCAGCAGGGAGGAAGGAACAAGTTGTGAAACTTTAACAAGATCTCCAAGGAAGCTTAGACAAAAAGGTAAGAATCAATGTTGCTAAGACTTAAAAAATATCAGATATAAAGTTTCATTTTTATGAGCTACATCTGAACCCTGGATAACCTGGCCAGATTTTGTTGAGTTCTCAACAAAATACCGTTCTTTAATTGGACAGTTAAAAAAACTGTTTTAATAGACATACTATTAATCAGAACTCGAAAGAGCAGAAATAGAACAAAATACCATATAAATTGAAATTACTGAATTCTGTATAGCTCTATATGTTCTTTTATTGTTACTGCAGTGGTTGGTTTTTTTTTTTTTTAGTTATCTGCTGTTCCTACTATGATTATCTATTAGTTTATGAAGACTGTAAGGCTTTCATTTACAAGATAATGTATGAATCCACCATGCAACTACCCCTATATGCTATGCATACTTGCTGAGGTGAAAGAGTTAATCCAGAAGGTTTAACCATTTCATCATTTCACTGAAAGAAATCTTTTAATTGTTTAAAATAACTTGAAAAAAAAATTAAATGTGTAAGTTCTGAGAATAAACATTTTTCTCCTTCCCACAACCCTCCCCAAACCAAACTTCTCAATGTCTGTTAATTTGTTGACATTAGTGCAGCTAGAAGGACCAGGATGTTTAAATGAGAGAAACCAAAGACAAAAATATGTATTTCTTGTAACAGTATTTTATGTGCATTTAAGCTCTTGGAGTTTTCCTGGAAATAAAAAGAGCAATGTGTTCAAAACCAAACTTACAAAAAAGTAAAAAAATCATGTTGTACTACTAATGTAGGATTTACTAAATATTTTGTGACAGGAGCTTGGAAAAAAATACCTTTGTGCTGAGCTGGCAAATCACATCAAAAAATGGAAAATCTATTTGTACTGAGTATTTCATAAACTTTTGATCAAGGAAAAATATACTTCATGTTGGAAGTAAGATCTAATTAAAAAATTAACTCTAAATTTCAGTTAATAAAAAATGAAAGGAATTTAAATGAAAAATGATCTTGGAACAAAGACTGAAAATAATTCAAACCAAAAAAGTTCAGTTCAGGACCAGCCCACAATTCTAAGTCAATTTAATGGTGTATTATCTATAAAGAAGAGAACTAAGTCAAATCCATTCTGCCATGCATGCTTAGGATGAATGACAACTAATTAAAAAAAATTAGTTTTATTTAGTTTTATTTTGTTTGTTAAGATGCTTTTCCTGAAACTGGGTATAGAAAATCCTAGTTACTCAGACAGGAAGATTGGTTTAGTAAACTTTTGACCACGTTTCCATCCAAATTCCCATAGGTACAAGGAGGACTTCTGGATGCATTCGAATTTTAGATGGGTAGAGGGTATTTAAACTCTTTCTTTACTCTTTCTCCCATTTTTCTTCTTGCTTTTAGATCTGTAAGGAAGTCCCACTAGCTTATGAAGAGTTAAAACAAATTTTAACATAAGGCAATCAATACAGTGTGTCCTGGTCTGCTCAGGCTGAAGGACAGCGGCTCTGATTTCCATAGCCTCACTAACATTTTCAGACAGAAGAAAGGATCTGCCACTCCCTGTGGTGGTGGGTAGCCTCATCTTTGGGATTCAGCAATAAGTAAATGTTAAAAACACATCTTTTCCCTTCTTAGTCACCTCTGGCTGCTTACAGCACCTGCGGAAATGTAACAGGGGTCCAAAACAGTAATGCCCACACCTGCAAATGGATTTCCTTGTGTAAGACTGAAACTTAGGGAGCACAAGAAACAACATTTGGGAGACTTTTCCTCTTGCATTTGCTTCTTGAGAATTGGCTGAATCAATATTGCTTACTGCACTGTCAAAATGTGTATCCTCATGCACATTAGACATTCCCAGAATACTGGATTTCTTGATTTATATGTCATTTTAAAAACTTGAAATGATGGTATTTAAATGCAGAGAGACTCAACAGCAAGAAAATACATTACTGGAGCTGTAACAAGTTTTGTATATTTTTCTTTAAAAATCGTCTTCCAGGCAACCTATTTTTAGGCAACTCTCTTATCATTTTTTAAGCCAGGAAAATCATGTTTCTCTTTTCAGTGTTAGACATCTGCCTTCTAAACAGAACAAATAACATTTTTTCCCATATATTAGACCTTAATCAACCCAGTATTTTAGACTGTTATTTAGAAAACACTTTTCAGCTACTCTGTAAGGAAAGCAGAGGAATGCACTATTTTCTTTCCCTTCATGGTCTTGCACTGATGACTGTAGAAGACTTCTATCCTTCCTCATTTCACCTCCTCCTGTGCCAATGTTTTTGTGACTCAGAGCAATTCTAGATGATGTTTCTAAGCTCAACTATCCAGCCAATGTCCTAAGTGGGTGAAAGATTAATTATTCCCACTGAGCTCAACTATGTCAGGATATCAAAGGCCAATTACAGACAAAAGCTATCATGGAGTGGTCACTTCCAAACTCCTGCCAACGCCAATCCCAAATGCAAAGGAAATCAGCTTCCTGCTGAACTGAGTAAGCTCTGGTTTTAGTACATCCCATGTAGCCAGCATGCTGGTATGGCTTTTATTCATTTCCACAGCTGAAGAATATGCTTTGCTGAGCTGCATGACTCATCTTGCAATGTGTGGTGCCCAGAGCTGCGACACTGCTGGGTGGGAGGGCCACAGACGGCACATCAAACGCGTCTCTGCTATGCAACGCGAGCAGAGGTTGTTGACTAATGGTGACTTCAAAAAGAAAACCTTTTTTGCACACTGCTTGTTGACAGCTGTTATTATGACATTTAATCTATATTCATTATTCGGGGAAGCAGCTCAGCCAGGATCCAGCAGTCAGTCTGCTAAACCCACTTAGTAGATTACTTCGAGCTTTAGTTCCCAAAATTCAAGTTCTTTCATATTTTGTTGCGTGAGAGCAGAGAAAAAATCTTGATCAATGGGTGTCAGCAAAAATGCCTCAATCTGTTAAGAAAGGAAGGCTGGGAAATAAAGTTGGGGGCAAAATACATGGCAGCAATCCTTATTAGAGCAGTCATTGCTGAAGGCTGAAAAGGCATTGCGTAGGAATCCTGATTAAGTGGACTAATTTTGAACAGTGTCAAATTAGGTTGAGTTTAATTTTTTGCTATCTCAGGTGTCATACAGTATTATCTTCACTTGAGTTAACTTCTCTGCTTCAGTCCTACTGCCATCATCACTGCTTTGATGTGCTGTTTCCAGCCATCAGTATGATCTGAATAATACCAATGCTTCCTGCTGCCTCTGGCTGGCCCAAGTCCAGTTTTGTTTTCCCATTCAGAGATGTTCTGTTTGATGAAGTTATGGGATTTGGATCTATTTTATTTATACTGTCTATTCCTTTTTGAAAAACTTATACTTATAAACGTATTAAGGATAAATTCAGTAGGCAGGGGAGTTATTTGGCACATTGATGATTCTGACTCAAAAAATAGTATCTGATGAGGCACATGAAGTAGAACGGTTTCAGCAGGAAAACCTGGAAAAACAAATCCAGAATAACAAATATGTTCATCATGGCATTCTCTTCTCATGTTGGAGACCACAATCCTCCACACAGAATTCATAGAATGACTAGGTTGGAAGAGACCTTCAAGATCATTGAGTCCAACTCATGCCCTAACACCTCAACTAAACCATGGCACTGAGTGCCACATCCAGTCTTTTCTTAAACATACCCAGGGATGGTGACTCCACCACGTTTCCAGGCAGGCCATCCCAGAACTTTATCACCTTTTCTGTAAAAATCTTCTTCCTAATATCCAACCTACATTTCTCTTGGCACAGCTTGAGACTGAAATACGGTTTCTCTCTCATTACTCATCCTGGTTTTGACCAGGAATTCCACTGTGGAGCTGAGAAGGCTGTGCCAGGAAAAGCCTTTTTATAATGGCACAAACCAATAATGAGTTTCTGTTTTGATTAATTTGATTTTCCAGCTAAAATAAACAAACAAAACTTTTTCATGAAGACCCTTCTAATATTCACAAAACAATTTCTGGATCAATTCCATCTCAAATACTAAGACTAGATACAGGTTAATATATTAAAGTTTACTGTGTTGATTTGAGCATTAATTCACAAATTTCTGTAGTAGGTTTGAAAGGTACATTGCCCAGTCATGCTGTAACATTTCCTAATAACTGTGTCACTGCAAGTATCTATCTTAGCAGTAATTGTCACGCCCCTTGATGAGATTTGGAATAATTTATCTTTCTATTCTGGGTCCAGGGAAGAGATAGAAAATAATCTAAAATTCCTTTTCAAACTTGACCAGTTCTTTTTCACATCAAGACTTGGAATGCAAAACCTACTTGATTAAGGATTCTTCAGCATTGCAAGTCAGGTCATTCACTGAATAAAAATTAGCTGAAGAAAACTCAGTTTCTGTACAGATTAACCTTAAGAAACCACTACTAAAATAGAGTTTCAAGATGCAAATGCTGTATTGTAATGGCTGATCTCAAAAAAAACCCTAATCACAAGATCTTGCACAGCTGCAGGCTCTCTCTTCTGTAACTAATATGGGGTTTGCTGAACATGAAATCTGTGACCTTACAACCTTGATTTTCTCGAAGACTGCCCAAGTGAGATTTTTAATATATGTCTAATAGAATGTAAGATGACTGCAGGGTAAATTAACAATAGTCAATTTTTAATGCTTATCATAATGTGCAATAATTTGTCCAAGAATCATGTAAGATTTAGACTCAAGCCCTGTGGAAGAGCTTGTAAACATTGATTCACAAATATTTACAAGTATCAGTATGATGGGACCAGGTAAACAAATGAAAAGCAAACAGAATTATGTCCATTGGCAACTGGACTGATAGATTGTGAGAAGCAAGTATGTGCAGTTTAGGGAATAACCCTTTGATTGGAACTAATTACTAGAAATAGTGCCTCTATTTTACAATATTGCTGTGGTGAATTTATATCAGCTGTATAATGGAAACCCAAGCCTCATGTCAATTCAGAGAATAATTAGACAAGCTCCCTATTGATAGGCACAGCAGTGACTCAAACACAAGTCAGGAAACAGAATTACTGTTATTCCTCCACAAGAACAAATGCCAAGCCTGATGCTATGAGTATACTCATGTATGCCATCTTAACTTTGAACATAGCTGTTTTATTCACTGCATAAGGTTCTACAGAGTCACATCATAAAGGAAAATTCAATTTCAAGAAGTGTAAATATTTTAAACGTATGTGACACTTGGTTTGATGTGAAATGGACAAAATGGCAAGTGGCCTGTAAATAAGGTTAGTATTTCTGGGGTATATCTTGGTAGAAACTGGCAACAAAATGACAAATATTTGGATGTGTAATTCAAGCCAAACAATGGCTTGATCCAGCAAGCACTTCAGCCAATACAGAATTTGTATGTGTGACTTGCTGAGCTGAATTCAATTAAATGTTTTTGGGCACTAGAGATTACACACATTGAAGTCTGAAGGACAGATGTCACCATTTGCAATATAATACTGCTATTTTAGGGTAGCTTTTAAAATTAATCACAATTTGCAAAGCTTAATACTTTATTCAATTGATGAAACAATATGGATAGAATATATTGGGAGTCAGATCCTCTTAATACACATATATTTGTCCTGGTTTATCTTAGTGGCAAAATCTGTGCAATTTTTAATGTCACAAAGCATGTAATTGATTTTTAAAGATGATAATACTGGTCTAGATGCTAAAGTGATGCAGAATATCATACTTCTGATGTTTCGAACTCCCAGATGAAAATGATTTCATATTTCACAAATATGTGTGTGTTCATAAATTACTGACACATAACACATTAATTACACAATACTACTAAAATACACTATTTGAAAGAATGTTTTTTCAGTGTGTTGAATGGAGACAATAGTCTTATATTGGAGATTTTTTATATTATTTCTGTCTCTAGCATGTTGTGGTACATGTGATATGAAGTCAACACCAAGACACCATCCTTCAACAAAACCAAAACCAAGCCAGACCAAACCAGCAACAAAAAAGCAAAGAAATATAATTATAGCTGTGAGCAACTACACATGAATACAACTAGCATGCATTGATACTGAAATGTGTGAAAAGATACTGCCCTACACCAGTCATGCACAATACAATTGTCTCAAAGAAATAACAGAAGTATTAAAAATCTTGAGGTTTGTTTTCCATCTATTTATAACACTGAAAAAGCATCCAATAATTTTTTTTACATCTTTGGAAAGTTTTGAAAATTTATAATGAAAAGTAAATTAGCATTACGGTTGTTAGAATTCTGTCAAAATTGTGAGGCCTTTACAAGTACAAAAATATAGCCTTGCTGTGAAAGAAGATATAAGTTGAGACTACTATGCTAAACTAAAGCTATGCAAAACATATTTGTTTTATTTTTCTTTGCTTTGTTATATTTCTGAGTGTTAATCACTTCCAGCAGAAGGTTGTCTAGTGCTGAGATGGTTTGTTCTCATCAAAAGTGTCACAGAAAAAGGTGATCTCTTCCAAGCTAAACCAAGAAATTAATTATAATTTCATTTATTAATGGACACAGAATATACAGCTTTTCCAGTGGCTCTTAGAGAAAAATGAATAAGCTATTACTAATTTTTACTTTTTTCCCTAAAATGTTTCTATATGTTTACTGAGGTAATAAACCTTGGAGCCAGAGATTCAATTATTTCATTCATTTCTCAGAAAGCAGAAAATTTGGAATTACTATTTACTTTAAGGATAAACCTTTTTCTCTATGGCCTGGCTTGTGTCTCTTTAATTCTTGACCCTGTGCATTTTCAATTTTTTAATTCTTTAATTTTTTAAAAAATAGAGGTCTTTTTCTCCATCAAATCAATCTTTTAAATAAACAGTTAGACATACTTATTTATCCTTGGACTTCACCATGAATCTCTGCTTATAGACTTCTCCTTATTGTCCACAAATCTTACATGTCTCTATAAAACAGAAGGAGTCAGATTGATACCTTAATGACATGGCATTTCAAGTTGTTGAGATTTAAGGCAGTGATGCACAGAAAAATAGAAGGACAGGGTGCTTCATTGGAGTGAAACATGGATGATGCATCTTTGCATGCTTCCTTTATCATTATTGATTTTACAAAGGGAATTTAATACTGCTTGCAGCTGGAGACATAATATTAAGGAGAGCATAAAGATCAAGTGCACTCCTAAGCAAGTCTCAGGCTTGGGTAGAGAGGGATTTGATCAATTTGGGTTTCAAACACAACAGGCCTAGGGTGTGTTTTGGGAAGAGCTAAAAGCTGCATTTAATTCCCAGCAGACTGTTAGTCTGAAGAGGTTCTTAAAACGGTCATGAAACATCCTGTCCAGAAATAATTGACTTTATAAAAATAATATGTACTAACCCAATGACAAGGAGTATTATATATACCCAAGACTCATTGTGTAAAGTGTTTACAACTAATAGAAACAAGAATTCAAAACGTCAAAATAATTTAAAGAAATAAATAAAGGATGCTGATGTTCAATTTCAGACTCTCTCACTATTAGTTGGAGTGGAATAACAAAACATTTCTTCTATACTATAATTTCAATCCTCCCTCTGATAGTTCTTTTATAACTCCTGCAGGTTTCTAATAGCTTTTTTCTTCTCTGTAAATAGTAGTCTATCCCTTCTC